CTCTTCCACTTCCCGGTGTGACGCAGTTCTGCTGTTGCGGCAGAGTTCCCTGGGCATGGGCTTTTGAAGGACTGTGCAACCCTCACTGGGTGAAAATATGTCCTTGTTTCTCCACTCACATCCAGCCATGCAATTGCTGAGATGCTACTACCACTTTGCTCACCAGGTGTTACAGCTGGAGCACTGGGTGCAGTGTGCAGCTGCCTACACATGCCATCACACGTAACCACACATGAGCAGTACCTGTTTGCTCTTAGCAGCCCTTAATCTGCTCATTTTTTCTCCTTGACCTCAAAAGACACAGCTGTAAAAATTGCATCTGGACATCTGTTTTGCAGCTATTCTTGGTCCTGGTCCACCTCTGAAATCCTCCCAGGTCCCCCAGCATAGGGGATCTCCAGCTGATGTCCAGGCACTTTGCTCAGGGCTATTCCTCCCCCCTCAGCCAAGCACCTTTCCAGACATCTGAGCCAGGGACATGGCACAGCCCACTGCATCTCATGTGAGTTCCTGACGGATCCCTCTCAGCTGGAGTGGGTCAGCCCTGGCCTTTCACCTGCCAAAAACATTGCATTACCCCTAAGGATCAAGCCTCATCAACATTTCTCACAGGAAATTAAGCAGAGAACCTTCTACACAACGCATGGATGTCTCTGCAGCACCTAGCAGGTAGTTCATCGACCCAGTCTGCTGCTGCTGTTACAACCACAACACGTAATTCCTGGGATGGAAAGTGCTATTTCCATGCAATGCACCTACACGTCACTCTCTGGCTTAATGGCCCCAGAGTGACTGCACCATGGAGATGGACACAAATTACAATATCAATCTCATAACTGATTTTATTAGTAGTGTCACCTCCTAGTCCTCTGGAATTATGGATTATGAAAATTGCCTTCAAAGTAATTTGATGTTATGAGTCTTTGGAACAGAACCTTTATGGCTTGAGAGGTTAATATCGTATTAGACTCACACTGTGGGACATTTAAGTAATGAAAGAGGAAAGAGAAGGAAAGCTGAGGTAGATATGAGTGGCTGTGGTGGGAGTTTAAAAGATTGAGAGATTTGTAGCAAAAATGAAAAGACAGATTCTAAAATGACCTGGGTAAACCTGGCTTGTCTCTACGACGCGGTACGAATAAAGACACCTGGCACTGACACATGCAAATGTTTGCAAACCATGGCCTGACTTGGGGCCACTGGATGTCACTGTTGCCCCACACAAATTTTGCTGATGGCCCTGTAACTGGGCACACAGCAGGTGGCTCTTGCAAAGAAAATGCTGTCATTGAAGCAAGAGTAAAAGCAGCATAAAAAGAAGAAAGCTACTTATTTTTCAAAAACAGCATGATAAAGAAAGAGTAGAATTGCAAGAAGCAGGGAATGAATTTTGCTCAGGTTTGATTGCTGTCCTCCGAGGGTGATGTAAGCTCATCTCCTCGAGGTTTGCAGCAGCATGAGCTCAGAGCCCAGCCAGACACACACAGTCCTGCAGAAGGTAACATGTGCCAAGCTGACACATGCTGGAACGAGACATGGATTGCGTCCCTGTCAGCTACGCATTACTGCTTAATGTATGAGCCCGAGAGACTGAAAAGGCTGTTAAGCACGGCTCACGGCACGCCGTAATCCATCTGCAGAACAGGAGGGCTGATCTGCAGCATCAGTTAGCCCTCCGCCTCTCCTTCAGCTCCTTTTTAATTATGCTGCTGTCCAGATCCTGGGCACACATACAGTGCAGGAACAAAACCAGAAAACCAAACATAACAAGAATACTGTCCTGTGGTTAATAATTTCCACTGCCATTCTTCTACAAGCCACAAATACCTTCTGGAAGAAAAGTAAGAACTGTAAGCTGGGCTCAGATATTTCTTAGTTACCTTTAAAATCATTTGTGCCAGTGAGACAGAGTCCCTCTTGCACAAGACCACCAAAATTACAAACCAGAGATTTGGCCCCGTGCCTTTAATCTGTGCCAGGTTGCACTTTAAAACCCTGCTTCTTTGGTAAAATCTTAGTGATACTCGTGTTTCATCAGAGCCTAACACCACTGTCCAGGCAGGAGTTCAGAAAGACAGAGACCTCCATAGTAGTCTGTGGAAGGAGCTTCCTTCAAGTTACTGAGGTCTGATTCTTCTCTTTGATTTTTTCATGCCTGGTGGTTGTGGTTTCAGGAAAAAGGATCCCCTGCTCTAAATTTTGCATTGGATCATTTGAATTTGAAAGATGCCCCGGACCCACTGTCTGGCTGTTCCTCCCCATGTGCAACAGGACTTTCCCTCCTGCCCCTTTTGTTCAGTCTGCTCCATCAACTGTGCAGAGGGGGATTCCTGACCAGTGGTATTCCCAAACAGGGATTCCTAAATCCTCCCACATTTGCAGATTCCCTCAATGCATGTGCATGGAGGAAACCCCTGATCCCAAGTTTCCCAACACATGCACCTACATTTAGAAGTTACCTAAAGGCTGGAAACTTATTGTTTATAACTCAAGGATTTCTACATGATGCTGCTAGTAAAAAATATGAAAGCTCCAGTTACCCCAAGAGCTACCAAAATTGGGCGGTTCAGCAGTGATAACAGACTAAGTATTTCAGACAGCCAGCTGGGGCCAAAACCAGACAAAAGCAATAGGAAGAAATCGTGTTCCATAATAGCCCTGCAGATGTGGAAGAGAGCAGCACATCAGCGGCAGGATTTCCTCCGTAGCCACTGCATCCAGCTGGGGAGTCGGAGCTGCCTGAACTATGTGAACTATTCTGCTAGGAAAGTCCAGATGACACAGAAACTCAAATAGATAAGTGTCATAGCCGAGATTTTTTCCACAGCCTGAATTCAGTGTATCACATCATCGCTGCTTTTCTCATTCCCTGTGGCTGGGGAACTTCTTAAAGTGATAAAAACATTTTCACTAGTCATGAACTAAAGCCCTGTAAAATCTTCGCAGTTAAACACAGTAGGATGAGGTTCACATCTCACCTAAGTGGCTATAAATTTCTCCCTCTGCTTCCACTAGACCTGGCCGTGCAGTCAGGGACCCAAAGCACAGGGATTGTCACCAGCTATCAGCACAGCACACTGTCACATCGGCCTTTGGTTCCCCCAGGACAGATGGAGCTGCTAAGAGTCAACCCTTCTCCACAACATGACTTATAGGCTAGGATTTATTACCAGATTTTATTTTATTACCAAGCAATGTCATGAGTCTTTTTACTTAGTCTCTTGCTTACCAGAGAGAAATGTATTTTTCCCATTAATTATGGGCACTAGATGTGAGGGGGAGGAAGAGCTTTTGTTTTGTCTCCGTTCCAGCTAGTTAACAACATGTAGCTGGTGAGAAGGAAAAGCAGTCATGCAGAGGTAGAGCCTGGTAGATGAAAACGTTGCTCTGTGGCCTTGAAGATGCAGGTGACTTTGTCACCCCTTTCATACAGATAGTGTGCGTCAAACATACAAACTGTGCCAGCAGATCCCAGTGCCTCCCCGTTTCACGAGCTGAAAAAATGAGC